TATATATATATATATATATATATATATATATATTGTGTAATTCTTGATATATAATATACTCCCAAAGATATCTTAAGTATGGCTAGAATAACGGGAGTGACGAAATAACTAAAATGAACTGTTTAACAAACTAAAGGATTAGAATAAAACGGTCGTAAATGTTTAGAAATGTTAAAGATAACCTAAAGTTAATTGCTTAAGAATTAAAGGGAACTAAGGTTTAGAATTAGTGAATTAGAGAAGTGGGGTTTGGAGATGAGGACTACCTTTGGATTTCCGATCCCGGCATCCGTTCTGACTGACTGCCTCGCCGATCACTACTGCCACTAAGCTCTTGTGATCCCGCCTTTAGAAAGGGACCTGAATGGTAGTGATGCCATCTAATGGTTCCTGCACACAGGACGTGGTAATGCTTACCGCGCGGCGGAAGTTTGCGCGACAGCCAATCAATACATGTTGCTTTCCGTAATAACCTTCTAGCTCTTACTGAAAAACAACATATTGATTGGCTATCGCGCGGATTTCCGTCGCACGGCAAACATTACCGCGTCCTGTGTGCAGGAGCCATAAGATGCCTTCCTTTGGGGAAAAGGAAGTTTCGTACCTGGAGTGTCTCAGGTAAAGGATTGTTTGGACAAAAAATTATTACTGACTGGCGGCCTGGTCGGTCGGACGTGACAGTATACTCGGCGATTTTTAACTTGTGGAAAAAATAGAACAAAGAATTTGTATCAAATTTTGCTTTAAGAATGGAGTAAAGTGCAGCACCGTATTAGAAATGTTGAATGTTGCTTTTGACGAATCTTCTATGAATAAAACAAGCGTTTACAAATGATACAAACGTTTCCAAAAGGGCCGTGAAGACGTTGAAGATGACGAGTGCCCTGAACGCCTCAACACATCAACAACCGATGAACACGTCGAAAAAATGAAGAAAATGGTTATGGACAATCGCCGAATCACTATCAGAGAGGTTACTGATGATGTTGGCATATTATTTGGCTCATGCCAAGCAATTTTTTAAGATTTTTTGGACATGAAACGTGTGGCAGCAAAATTTGTTCCGAAATTGTTGAATTTTGTTTAACCGTGAATTCTTGGCCAAAAATAGCACCGTTATAATGCCTCAGCCTCCGTATTCACCAGACATAGCTCCTTGTGACTTCTTCCTATTCCCGAAGCTGAAAGAACCATGAAAGGATAACGTTTTGCCAACATTGAAGAGATAAAGACAGAATCGTTGAAGGAGCTAAACGCTATACCGAAAATTGTATTCCAGAAGTGCTTCGAAGATTGGAAAAAGCGCTGACACAAATGTATTATATCTGATGGGGAATATTTTAAAGGAGACAAAATTAATATCGATGAATAAATAAGGATTTTTTGAGAAAAACGAAAATTCCGCGTATTTTTTTATCAAACTCGTATATTTCAGTGTATACGATCGTCGGACGGCTTGGAAAAGAAATAATGGTGGGAGTCGCGGCGTTCTTCCATCCTCTATCGCAGACGTAAGAGCGAGAGAGATAGCATTATGAGACGTGGCGGCCAGAAATGCTGTCCTAAAATATGTGTGACGCATACTAAGAAAACGTTCGACTTAACTGTGTAACGATGCATATCGTTACGTAATAATAAAAACGCAGAACAACGCGAATCAGGAGCGCAAGAGGACGGCGCGTCCTCTAATATTGTAAACAGCGCGACCGCCGAACGACCACGGTAAATAGCGAATCAAGCGAGATTCGAGGTATATAAAACGCCGCGTAATTGTAATCGAGAGATTCGATCATCCGCTCTCGAAAGAGAGTCAGAACCGATCCACCGCTCTCGAAGGAGAATCCGATTCCGATTATCCGCTCTAAGAGATACCGACTCTACTCCGCTCCTGGCAGATTATTGTTCGTCGATTGGCGACTGTAATCACTCCGCCGTCGTTGCACGGATACGTG